CTTCGTAATTTGCCTTGTTGTAACATAGGTAAGGGCGAGGTCCCTCGCATGATAGTTCTTCGCTAATTACCAGGTCGGACATTACCGTAGTGTGATCGCCACTTTCAAGAGGGGTTTGTACCTGAAGGTTTTCAACCATAAGGGGATCACCGTAAATTGGCACCAGAAAGAGTCTGGGAGCTCTGTCAGTACCGTGTTATTGGTTTGTTCACTTCTGAACCACTTGTTCACGTATATTGCAACCCCCCCTCCGTCCCTATGTTCTCTGTCTCTCCTGAACAGAACTGTCGTCTATGCTAACTTCGGTGTCACTTACGTCCGGTGATAACCATATTTCTGTCAGGATCATGATTTTCGGGAAGAGGTCGAGACAGAGGGATCGGAGTTCTGACATTTTACTACGGAGTCCTCCCACGTTGCTGTGGAGACACTTGGAAGTACTTCTCGTAACGTGAGGTTTCTCTGGGTTAACTAGCGGCACAGGTTTAAACGTGAAGGTTTCTACTGACTGGCCAGTTCCAATGGAACTGGCCCAGTTAAGTTTTTTCCCTCGTCGATTGGCGCGCTCGGTGTTGGGTGGAGGCTGCTGGTCTGACTCTCAACGCTTCGGTTTAGGGTTACGGTGGCCTAAGCGCAGGGGGGAACTGCTGTCTGTTGTTACCTCAGTGTTCTCGGTCTGCTTTCACAGCAGCGAACGTTACCGATTATGGTGCTCTTGACCTTGTACCACGTCTCCAGCACTCTGGTGAGCACTCCTGGGGATTCGAAGTTGACAGCCATTAGTCTTGGCGAGGTCACGGTTGTCAGATGCGATGAGGGTGGCAGTCCCTGATTGTCACAGCTGCAACCCCACTCAGCTCCATTCGAGGCGATAACCACTCCCATTGTCCAACGTCATGGGTGTACTTATCAGCTGGGGTAACGGTCACCATTTTGGGTATTCCATGCACGACCGTGGTTGTGGGTTTTAGTGGACCAGCTGCTTCTCGAGATGTCCTTCTTGATACCCATAATCGGTCAAGTCTAGTTCCAATGTTGGACGATCTGTTGATGAGCGGGGTGTGTGACAATAAGGGGGACTTTTCGGCGTCTCCGGCTGAGCCTAGAGTCACTCTCATCGGCGGAGGTTTTCCTGCGGGTGAGTGGCTGCCGTTGTGCGGTCGACACAGTTTTGACTCGAGAGCCCCCAAACCTAGCATGGCACAAAGGGAGTTCCACTGCTGCCTGTCAAACTTGTCCCTACTCTCCAGAAGGCTATCACCTCAGAGAGGAACGTAAAACAGAATGACAGAGCTGGATCGGTAAGTGATGCCATCGTTATCCGATCCCAAAGGTGCTTTTTCACGGGTGCTTCGAGCTTTTTTCTCCACCCTGACCCATTATTTATGTTATCCACTAATTGCTCTCTGATGCGGCTCCGAGGCTTGAGGTGGATGCAGCTGCTATTGGTGTGGTCAGTGTTTTGCTCAGCTTAGAACCTGTCAGGTTTTTGACCTTCAGCAGGCCATTGCCGAAGTCCTTTGGAGAGTGACCATCCTCTCTGATAGTCGTTTGGACGGATACCTACCTTTTGGTTACTGGAGATTTATCGGTTGCTCTAAGCAAGCATGAAGCCAGGTGCGGTCTCAGACGGCACCCTGGGCAAGTGCACCAAAACCATGTGCATGGGCTGCGCGTCATAAGGCTATGGTACTGATGTGGCACTTCTTTGTCACATCAGCAGTGCACCCATCTGTTGCAGCCGTTGCACTCAGAGGCTGCATCACTTTTGGTAACAGTGACCACACATATGTGGCAGTTGTCGTCATATCCATGTGCTTTTACAAATGCTTCTGCCCTACCGTTTGACTTTTCCGTTTAGTGGTTCTCACTGAAGTCCGGGTGGGCGCAGGGAGTGGCATAGGGCTCTGGGTTTGCTTGACTGGGTATAGTGACGTTTACAGTACCGGGAGGATTGACTGTACGGCTAACTTTGGGTGTTGCAGGCCGTGGTTGTGACCGTTTCGGGTGAGGTGGGCCTAGGCGGTGCGCTCGTATCCTCAGTTACTTTCTTTGTCGTGGTTTTGCGTCTCGTAGCTCCAGTCCTAGTAACTACCGAAAGTGAGGTGGTCAGTGACTGCGGCGAGACTATACTCGAAGCATCTCTGCTGCTCGCCTTTTTCGGGGTCGGCGAACTTTTACCACGCATGTTAATAAGCAGATAAAGATAATAACAGGTTCCATAAAAGGAATGGAGCAATGAAAATGCACGGCAAGTAGACAGAAGACTTTCGACCTTACCTTCAATTGTGTGTTCCCGCGACTCTATCGAAGTTCAAAAACCACCAAGTCCTGGACGTAGTGCACTTTAAGTTAAACGTTGAATTTTGGTTATATTTTCAGGCTATCTGGCAGAAACGAAAGTCATGTCTGATCATTGCGTAAAAGCACCATTCAAGAAAGAGAAAACGATTAAACAGGTCTGTTCTGAAGAAAAAGTGGTGCCGGTCAGACTACTCGAGTGTTTTCATTTGGAATATCTTGTACATAGAAGGAAGTACCACAGCGTAATTCGGGAGACTATGCGGTGTGACGATTTATTTTAGGATTTTGTCACTGAAAGCAGTGACATTCGGATATGGCCTGTAAAAATGGCACGTTTTCGTACGACCCTTCGTTCGAAATAAATTAATATTGCTTCGACCAATCCTTCTTTATTAATAATTGAATAGGTAGTCGTGGGTCTTGGTGCAGCGCAAGGGCGTGAAGCCTGTTTTTGAGGATCAGTATGCATAGCAGTAGACGTTTGGACCCAACTTAACCCCATGTTTATTTATGCGTACGTACATATATTTTTTCTCGCATGCATTTGTAAAGAATGTCCCTTCTATGAAAATAAATTTCTAGATAACTTGCTAGTGTTTCTTTAATTGTTATGAAGCCGCATAGGTGAACTATGCCAGGCGTAAATGGTAAGTAATCGACCCTCTGCATATCTTGATGGTTTCGAAGTGGTGCGACAGGTGTTTACTCGAAAACAGGGTAGACTTGGAGGGAAATACTATGGTGCATAAGGAGAGATGCCGCGCAAGCGGGGCAAAACGCTGCCTTCCATGTGATAGGTAGTTCTGACTAAGTGACGACCTCTAAAGTGAAGCAGTTACTTAGTTAAGAAACCACACCTGTGCGATGGTCAGCTATACTACTTGATATCAGACCTCAGTTGGCATGCCTGGGAAGTGTAACGCACCGGTTGTGAGTTGAATGCTTATACCCGTTGGTCACAATACAGCAACACAAATCCTCCCATTTCAGACGCCACCACTATGACCCATTCTACTTTCCACTTCAATAAACAACAAAGAAGGAATATGTGAAAACTTTGTTTAAGGAGTGGAACAATACATAAATAAGTAGATAGTAGGTATTCAGCAGTCTACCAGGTTATTGAAGATCAATCCTGCAGGTGGCGCTCCTCATGAGCTGTGGTATACTTACCTAGCAGCGGTCTGCGCGCCCCTTCCGGATTTGACTGGGCCAGTAACTGCATTTCACACATCACTGCAGTAGTCAGCATTCGCAGTTCTCCGATGGCCATAGTAACCTAGTTAAGTTCAAATTGCATCAGGTTATAACTTCGTAACCGTCTTGTAGAGTGACGAAATACATCTGCGAAGAAGTTAATTAACGTCTCAAAAGACTTACCGAAATCACCGGACAGATATCTGTACACATGAATTAAATGACGGCAGGGTATAAACATCACAGTGCTGGTGTAGCATCCGCGGTCATATTTGTCAGCCACATAGTACTTCTGCTCTTCTTGAAAGACTACGTATGCCTCTGTAGATTCAACTACCTGCATACCTCTGTGCGCCAGGACACTTTTGTACACATAATATACTGCGTATTTCGTCAGAGAAAGCAGCATATCGGAGGTTATGTAGTCCGTCTGTAATTACAGAGATAAGAGCAAAGGACTTATATTAAAATGCGTGTAGTAGTGCAAACTGAGGTTTCCCTCACTGGCCTTCCTGCGATACTGTTCCATGGAACATTTCCGACAACTTCCGGAAACTTTTTGTGTTTTGTTATCGTCTCCCAACTTGCAAAACTAGACCTCTTGACTCTTATATCTCTGTCCAGTAAGTACCACACCAACCCTGTCTCTCAGATTTATGAAATCAGTGAATTTTCGTCAAGAATTCCTAAACACATGAAGTAAACATAGCACGTTACTAGGGTATACCAGTTCCCGGAAATTTCTGTAGTCGTCGTACGTCATCAGCTTACCCAACTCGACGTCAACCACATGGATAATTTGACTTAACGGTGCATTACGTTCAATAAGCAGAAGAATCCTCATTTGCTCGTCACCACTAAGTCTTCGAACACGTGGTTACGCAGGCATCAGCAGCTCTGACGACATTCATGGTTGTGTACAACGTCAACAGGTTCTACAACTTCATAACGCCCGAAATTCAGTTTAATTTGGAAGGTGGATGGGCAACCCAAGAACTTAGATCCGTAAATCATATGTTATGGCTTCTATAACAGCACTTAGTGCGACTTTCGCTGTTCACTGCCTATTGGCTTTCTCCACCGACCAACATGGCAGCGAAAAACAGCATACCGATACTTATATGCCGGGTCTACATTATTGTTCTCGTTCCTATTTAGGCGACAACCACGAATCCTATACAGACTGTTAGTTTCCTTTGGCATTTAATAATGACCTCATTAACTCAACAAATTACATTTTCAAGTCGTTTAAAGCACGCTTCACACTCTGGCCATGTTCGTAGGTTTCTGTTTATCACAAGTTGTCTGAATTCAGCTACCAAGTTTACTGGTCCAACATTCTATCTGAAAGACATTTTAATGTTGCTTTACGAATGCCGATTTTTACAAAAATGCATCTATTCAGCACAAGGACGAAGCCTCGATGTTTCCAAATTAGAGAATACCGCTTTTTCTTTTATGATGGCTATATCGCATTGACCAATCAGAAAATGGCAATTTGCGCTTTATCTCACTCGCGCCAAATAGGAAATTGCGTTTTGGAGGTTACAATCGCGTGTGGCGACTGACATTACCCTCATGGTGTGTTTCTCGATTTGTTGTACTGTAGTTGTTTACTCAAGAAGCTATAGTAATGCACTGCAAAAAAGCAATCAGGAAGTTTTAAGTTGTCACTTTCAGACATGTGTGCACTCGTCAGCTCTTCGTTTTCGGGAACGTGCTTTCGAATTTTCTCATGTTTTTTCCTCTCTGACTTTAGTATTCTTTATGGAAGGTTTTGGATCCTGCGGATTGTTATATCTACTATTCATCTTTTGATTTGTCAATGGTTGAGTATGTACTGAATTTATGTTCCCATATGTGAGCAGGTGTACATCTGCTGTTTAAAACAATTTCTAACGTAAGGGTTCAAAAGGTACCATATGATTCGTTTCTTGGCGCCCTGGGATTTATTTACCTTTGAATCAAATATATTTAAGTGGTTCCAACTAATGAGACGATACTTGCGTATGTGGCATAAAATATTGCTTAAATTCCACAGTGATTATTCTCACTACCCTGTAAGAATACTAGTTCTTGTTGTCCTAGGAGAAAGTAACTTTGGCATTATAACCGGTTTTTGCCTCAAAATAAATATGGGTTCAGATATGAAGTTCCGTCTGAGGCCACTAGTGACCTCACGAATAGAACTCCCGTCTATCCTGTGCTCTGAGGGTAGTATATAACCACTAATTCATTCCCAGTTATCCCTCAAGAATTTTTACAGAAAAAGTGGCCTAAAGTGACAATCGGGTGCTGCTAAACTCCTGCAGAGTGCACTACTTTGTATTTAAGGGAGACCGAACTTTGAAAAATGTCGCTTTTTTTCCCACTTTTTTAATGTAACTTCGCAAGATTTAATTATTTAGTCGAAATGTTTCATGAGATTTGCTTTTATAGTTACACTGTGCATTCATTACTTCCCATTTTCCGTTTCCAAAATGGCAAAACCCCTTTGTCTCTGTCCGGAGACTCTGTGTCCCACTGACTCCCTAGAGTTGGTCCCACTTCCCAGTTAGGTGAAGTGTTCAACTCACTCAACCACTTCACTCCCTATTATTGGCTGGGCCACCGCGAAAGACCAGTCCTGAATCAAAAATTTACATTTGGGTGGGCAGAAAGTCCTCTCGGACATTCTCAGATTGCCATTCTATTTGTCTAAAAGGTTCTACATCTTGTCAGGGTCTTCATCTAACAGCGCCATATCCGTATATTCAGGATCTACCAAGGGTTTTTCTATGTTTGGACCAATTCCTGTGTAGTCAGACAATGAAAGGGAGACCTCAGCAAGAACGTCTACGATAAAATTGAATAGGTAGATAGAGAGTGGGCATCTTTGAGTTGTTCGGGTTGTTCGAGTAAAGGGCATTCAACAGAGTAATTTGCCCACTGGATACTTCTTTCAGTGACAGCCATCGCCTTAGGACTTCGATCGACGGAAATAAATGTCGCTTTCAGGTCAAGAAATGCAGCCAGTGTCGGCCGTCGGTGTACGAGCCTGTGTTCCAGAACCTGGTGAAGAAGGGATTTCCGGTCGATACACCCACGGCTGGTTCTAAAGTCTGCTTGGTTTCCGCGGGATTGATGTTTCCAAGCTCCACTTAGACATCTAATGACTATAAAACCTAGAATCTTAGACACTATTCATTGGACTGACAATCATAGGTGTGTGGTTATCATAAGAGAAATTCCCACCATTCTTGAAAACTGGAACAATCGGTGATGGAGACCAGTCGTAGGGGGTCCTGTCTGACTCCTACACACTAATTAGCACTTCAGTTGACTAATATTTCACGATCATTGTCTTTAAATACCTCCGGAACTAGTTCGTCTGGCTGTGCTGTTCTTTGTCAGAGGTTACGTACAGCTTTCTTAAATTCTCCTAATGTCACGGGTCTTGTCTCGATGTTCCATTCAGGCTCAGACAGGTTAGTGGGCAATAAGATAGTAGCTGTAGGCCAGTTGAACGGTTTGTCGAAATGTCTTGCTCATTATTCCAGTCCTCTCTCCTATTCTTCTCCGATATAGTTTCACTAACCACTGACCCTTTCACCTCAGTTTCCCCAATTTGTCTAGATAACTTCTGTTACCGCTCCCTTTGCTCCGTATAACTGCTCGCGCTCATCATTTAGGCTTTTTAAAAGTCTACATTTGCTTCCTCTCCTCTTTGTGCTCGGACCCTGCAGGAATGCGTTTACATGCACCCATCAAGTCAGAGGAAGCTGCTGAGACCCATTGGTTTTTTCTAACTACTCTGAAAGTCAACTGCGGTTCTCAGCGTTATTTTTATAGCAGACTAGAAATGACCCCAAGCTCCTTCTAGGTGAGTAATGTTGTTCTGTTCGGATAACTGTTTGACTAATTTCTGGCTTCAAGCATACTCAGAGATCTAATTGTCAAGCTGCACTCGCCATGGCTTCGTCGCTAGGGTTTTTCTACGTCCACTTAGATGCAGATATGCACGTGCTCTAACCAACGCGTGGTTGCTGTCCAAACACGCTCCAGAAAAAGGTCAGCAATCTCCAACCGACCGTTTCCGGTGATAATTGATTTTAATGTGGCTTATGTGTCCATCACTGAGTTAAGCCCTGTGGAACCAGGCCCCTTTATATCCATGAAAAATGTGTTCATTGTAGAGAGAATCAGTTTATTATAAATATATTTATAATGAATATTTATAATAGATTGTCCCTCTTCATATCTGGGTTTCATATTGTTCAGAAATAAATAATTGACTAAGCATAGTTGTATCACATGGGATTTAAAAATTGCCACCTAAACGGCTGTTCGTTCGGCTATCTGAGTGCCCTTCTGTGTGACTACCCACCTATGCGTTGAAATCACCTGCAACTACGACCCCTGAGCGTTTGATTTTCAGTAGGAGGCTAGACAGTTTTCAGTATAACTCATCCTTAACTTTATCTGAGCTGCAGTCAGCGTGTTCATAAGCAAAGATTACAAAGAAGCAGCAGCAAGTTTCACTAGTTCTTTTATTTTTTTACTGTGCAACTCAGTCAAGCGACGCACAGGTGACTGTCAACTGAGACCCAGCCGAACAGTGCATTTTCTGACTTAGCACTTAGTTTTATCCCTACACCTGCACTACCCCGAAAACTGGCCATCGAGTTTACAAGGTCTCGGGGCGTGAATTTTGTGGATCCACCATACTGACCGGACGAGGTTATTTCAGTAACTGCACTTGGGTCTTGTATGCGTGTCTCACAAGCACAGCACACATCACATATACTAGAGTTTTAGTTAGCGAAACTTGTTTGTTTTGACGGAAGGGGAGGACATTGATAACTTCAATGTGTAATTTGAAGCGTGGTTTCAGGAGACCAATGGTTCCGTTCTGCCTATTCAGATCGTTTTCAAGAGCTGCGGAGCTGGGAAAAATTAAAGACGATGTGGGAATGTTGACCAATGGACGTTAAGAGAGATTAAAAGTTGAGTATGTGGAAGGTGAACAGTAATCTGAGGGAAGTTGAGTGCTGACATAGTTGAAGGCGGTTAACACTTCCCATCTGCCAACACCGTGAACGACTGTTTCTTGAGGTACCTGAAACAGAAGGGTTAGTGAGCGACCACAGAGCACAAAGAATATCTGCTCAAGATCGATCGCACAGAGCCTATTTAGGAGTTCGATAGCTGTTTTTGTGAAAGTCCGACTATGAACCTATATCGGATGCATCGGTTTGCCGCAGTGTAGACAGATGTGCTATTTTTTGGCTAAACTGTCCTATGTCTCATGCCATAGGAAAAACGGCACTGACGTACGACTGGTGGCATCCAAGGGAAACACTTTACTGCTCTCGTAACCTCATCCAGCCAGCAGTATGATTATGCTCTCAGACCCCACCACAGCTTAAAAATTTGTACTATATTGGCAACTGGTTTTCCACTAACCACTATCTGACAGACCTTTCTGATATTATAGGACCCTGAGAAAGCATACATGTAGTTGTCACTTCCCGGCCGCACACACTGGAAGGCAGTTTTTTTCAAGGTACCTAAAAAAGAAACATTTTTGTCATCGCAAGGCCCATGGAACATCTACTTTAGCCCTGTCACATATGCCTTTTTGTGGGATGTTGCTTTGAGGTCTGGTTGTTCTAAAGTCGGCTAGAGAGGACTCATACCGCCAGCACCGGAAGACCATGGGGCAGAGTGGTGTGTTGTTTTCGGGACTGGGGTTTTCTCGCTTCTCCTTTTCGTTAAGAAGACAGCATGAGCGTGGCACTGCTCGTCATCCAAGAGAAACCCCATCCAGCTAGCAGCAGTGTGACTTCACCCTAAGACCCCCACCATAGTGTAGTGATTTACATTACAACGGTAACGGCTTTTTGTCGTACCAATATCTGACATGGTAGAACCCTGTGGAAACAACGGTTCCACCGGCACAGCTCGTCGGGTCATTTTCATATGTAAGCCCGACTATCACGTCAAGGTAGCAGCTCTCGGCTGGGCAATAAAGGTAAGTTGATTGAAGAGGTTGTAAACCATAGTTGACTGAAATGGCTTGGACATCTACTGCATATGCCAAGTCACTGCCTACCTTGACGTCTCATGCTAGGGGAAGTTGGAGTATTTCGGAAAAGGGTTTAGGGTGGCCAGACCAAGACCTGATACCAGTTGATGAGGTCTCTTCCTTTCGGCCTGAGTCGTGTGGGAAGATGTAAACTGCCAGGTTGGGGTCTGCAAGACAATAGGAATCAGTAGTTGAGGACTCTTAATGACATGGCTGAAAATCAGTCACAATGGCACAGATGTATTCACTCCTTGATATCTTCTAAAGCATGAATATTTGCACTAACCATTATCTTCAGATTGTTTATTTTCTCACACCACTTTATCCCCTTAGATATCACTCTTTTTCTATTCACCTGTTGTTTTATATTCTAGTGTGGTGTGGCAACTTGAGCCGATGCACCTATGTGCGAGGTTCTACGTTGATTTTGTCAGTCAAGACCTCGAGGCCACAAGCCTTCCACCAGCGTAGATCGTTGGATTTTTGTGATATGCAACCCCGACCACTGCCGCTACCTTTGAAGGCAGTTACCGAGGGCAATGGTAAGAAGGAAAGGCCGCAGGAATGAGAACAGCAGCGGTGATCAGTGGAACTGGTGCAGTAAAACTAGTAGTTAGTGGGAATTTCAAATCTCGAAAAAATTCCAAACGCACTTTATAACCTTGTGCGTTTCCGAGCAGTAGGCATTAAGCTATGCTGACTGAGCTTGGAAATATGTTTTTGAGTGCTGGGCTACTGCCTACTTTGCTGCACCACGTTAGGTGAAATAAGATTAGGTTATCAGAAAACTAAGATTAACTAAACGACTCTGAAGAGTCAATCTCTATCCACCGGTTTAGGCAATGTAGGAAGGCAGTCACTTCCTTTCTGGAATTCCCGAGATGCTTATAGTAATCGGTTAGGACTTTCGGTATTGTAACGTAAAGCTGATAGAAGTAGAGCCGATTTTATCGCACTATATTATCTTTGGAAGTCTTATCATTTTGTTAACTCATGTTTGTTACCTCATCTCATCAATATCTTTTTGTTGGTTTTATCATCCTATTTCTATTCACTTCATTCTGTGCTGTTGTGAAGTAGCACTTGAGCTGATGCATTTTTATGCAGTGTTTTTGATTGATCTGTTTACCTTTTATCTCCTACTGTTGGATGATTGAATCAGTGATTGTTTGATCAATTTAGATTGCGAATCCGGAAAAGTCTTGTTTGAATGATTTAAACAAAAGTTTGACAATGGTGTGATCTGTTTCTTATTTGTCAAAAAACTGCAGATATTTGGAATTTATGTGCTTCACTGACTGTATGATGTATATTGTCTGTGTTCAATAATAACCTGACTCTCTATCTCAAGAAACCTTGGTGCTTTGAAAAACCGATGTAATCTTGATCTAAATACTTACAACTTCGTCATCAATTATCAGATGATGGGGTCGTGGTTTGTCAAACATCTCACTAGTGCCTTTTTTAAACAATTCACTTGTATGGCACCACTTTTTAAAGCATTACACTCGTTCAGCGGATTAGTGCTTTGTGTAGTATAAATGAGCTGGCGAAGTGTATCATCTGAGAGAATTCAGATATCTGACTGTTATGCAAAACCACAACGTATCCTGTGCCTTATTTTTTCTTGAAGTAAGAGTATCGTGGGCTACACCATGAGAAATCTATGTGCATTGGTGTCACAGTGCTAGGAAATACCTTCTAAAGTTTTCTATTACGGCATATTAAAGATCTATGGTTTCAAGTCACCAAAAAGGTGCTAAACTTGTGGATTTTTCAGATGGAAAAAAGTAATTTTTATTCAAGATAAAATTTCAGTGTTGAATCTATTCAGTCACTTCTGATGAATTAAATTTGTTAGCATATTGGACCAAATGTCAAATGCTTTCTCTTGAATGGATGTCAGTGGTACAAGTACTGTGACTATTTATCTTAAAAGGATATTCGAATGTTTCGTTATTCACTTTGGTTTTTCTCATGCACAGAAACACAGAAACTCAAGTCGATGCATTTCTGCATCGCTTTTTAATCATTTCAGTTATAAGAAGCAAATTAAGGGATAGTATAGACCAAGACACCAGTGTTAGTGTTTTATTGTATCTCGAGCATAGACAGAATCAGCGTAGAACCTCGCACATAGGTGCATCGGCTCAAGTTGCCACACCACACTAGAATATAAAACAACAGGTGAATAGAAAAAGAGTGATATCTAAGGGGATAAAGTGGTGTGAGAAAATAAACAATCTGAAGATAATGGTTAGTGCAAATATTCATGCTTTAGAAGATATCAAGGAGTGAATACATCTGTGCCATTGTGACTGATTTTCAGCCATGTCATTAAGAGTCCTCAACTACTGATTCCTATTGTCTTGCAGACCCCAACCTGGCAGTTTACATCTTCCCACACGACTCAGGCCGAAAGGAAGAGACCTCATCAACTGGTATCAGGTCTTGGTCTGGCCACCCTAAACCCTTTTCCGAAATACTCCAACTTCCCCTAGCATGAGACGTCGAGGAACACGATGACTCGCTATACGTATGGACAGAAATCGTAAACCTCATGGGTTTTGCTGTGGTCGTGAAAGAATTTACTGGCCGTTTGTGGAGTAAGTGTAAGCTGGTTGGTCGAAATCGACATTAAAAAAGTTTGTTGCTTTCGGAAAACAAGTAAAGCGATTTATATCTCATGCATGCTGCTGTTCCCACGTTACCTACGTAACTTGTTTTTGTCATTAGTGTGGTTTTATATTTCCCTACACTGCTTGTTTCCTCATCGGTCTCACGGTAGTATAGTAGTCATTGTTTTAATTAAGTATAACCATTAAAGACCATGGGACTTTACCAGTTCTATCGTGGGCCTGCAGCCAGTTTGATGTGTTCAGTTGTACTTTTATGCATAACCTTATTCTTGGAACTATGCTGTATGTGATAAAAAAAACTCCATTTACTCCTTCCAGAAGTTAACTCTACTTTAGAATTGTTCTAGTTTCTATTTCGTATTTAAAATAAATGACTAACCTTATACTCAGTTTTCGTATGATTAATTTCAGGCTTTAAAACCTTATTTAAATGCTGTTAGACATACCTTAAATGCAGCATTATGTGTACAGAATTTTTCTTCTCAAGTTGTTGAACGTCATAACAAACCGGAGGTGGAAGTTAAAACCTCTAAAGAACTCTTACTAAACCCTGTTATTATTAGTCGAAATGAAAAAGAGCGTGTACTAATTGAAGGGTCAATCAATTCTGTCCGTGTCAGTATTGCTATCAAACAATCTGATGAAATTGAAAAGCTACTTTGCAGGAAATTTACGCGTTTCCTAATGACTCGTGCAGAAGATTTTGTAATACTTAGGCGTAAACCTGTTCCTGTGAGTTCATTTCTTTGTATATTTCGATTTAACTACAGGTTTACATCTTTGTCACTTTTATATGAATAAGATTCTTTTTATACCGTATGTTTATCAATAATATTTAATGGATGAAGTTATCAAATTACTAATCAAAACACTTATGGAAAACGAATATCCGTTGAAGTTTATAAACCGTTGTAGAAGTCAGGTAGCATCAAAGCCAACTCTATACACGTTTCCTAAGAAAAGCGTCCAAATCACTCTACCATACAGAAGGGTGTTGAATAGTATACTTTTAAGATGTAGGCTAACACTAGCCACTAGGAAAATAAATTATGCAGCATGCTACACCATACACCTGGATATTCCATATGTGGTTACATCATGTCCCATTATGTTTAACAGTTTACATCTGTGCGTTCACACATACTTAGGGAGGAGTAATCGAGCCACGCTGTTGAGGGTGGGAGAACATGTACTTAAATGGCTTCAAAAATAAATGGAGTGTGAAATCTTGATAAGCGCAGGTGGGAGACGACCCTCTTCATCTATTACTAAACATATTGTAGAACCGGCTCACAAAGTAAATGTTCTAATAGCTTTTAAAGTTTCACATAGAAATAGTCAGGAACACATACTGAGATTTACGGAAGCGATAACCATACACAACTTGAAGTCACCTGTATTTGTACGAAACCAATTTGTTCTTAGATTACATCTAACTTGGTAAAGTTTGTTTTCTTACAGAGATTGGGATCAACTATGCCATCCTTCCTTTTTGTTCTTATCTTTTTTAATTTGAATCGCCTGTTATCTGATTTATTATATTGGTCCTCTCACTCTTCGGTTTGATATAAATATACTTGACAAGTGAAAAGATAAAACACTAATGACTAAGCTGTCACCATCTTGGGGTGATAGTGCAACGGGCTATTGTATGATCCCTTCTGCGCAACAATCATCGGAGTACTTATTGTTTCAGATTTCTGTATAACGCAAGGAATAATTAAAAAACGATAAAACCAACTAAATTTCTGATAACAACAAGCTTTAGGAGACAATAAACACACGAATCAACAGAGAACCTCACGCACGAGTACATCAGTTCAAGTTGACATGCTTCATAGTTAGCATGCAAGTAACAAGGGGATAGAAAAAGAGTGATATCAAAGTAGTCAAAGTTGTGTGAGAGACTCAACGATTTGAAGACAACGGTTAGTGCGAATATTCAAACTTCAGAAGACGTCAAGGAGTGCATATATCTGCAACACTGCGACTGGTTTTCAGCTGTCACAAAGAATCCTCAACTACTGATTCCTATCGTCTTGCTGACCCTAGCTAGGTAGTCTCTATCTCCCCCTCACGACTCAGGTCAAAGGTAAGAGGCTTCATTGGCTGGTGCCAGGTCTTGATGTGACCACTCTGAACCCTCTTCCAACCTAAAAGAATAGTCATGGACTGTTTGCAACAATGTATTTCGTCTGAACTGTATACTTTCTTAACGGTATTATCTTTATTCAAGGAGGGATTTTACCAAGTAAAGCTGGGAAGTCAGCTAGACAGAAACATCGATCAGCTCATTATGCTTAGACTTAGCAAACAGTGGACAGTGTTCGAGTTGTTGGAACATACTGTTCATAAGACGTGTCTAAGTCCTTGAAGTTGATCCTTAAGATGAATTCCTTAATTTAATGAATGATGACTCCCACGAAGCATGAGATGCCTCATTGAACTCCAGAACTGAAATCCACGTTATTTCCATCGGATGTAAGAAATCCAACAGAGAAGGTCGGGATGAAACATAGGAAGTTATCAGTATGCTTAACTTAGTGGGGACCATATATCGTAGGAGTACAGGAAATCCTATAGTTTTCTGTAAAGTGAAACAATCACTGACTTACTACCACGGGGCTGTGGCTCAGTGGTTTGGGAGATGGCTATCAACCATTATGTCACTGCCTCCCGCACAAATTTGCACAAGGTGGCTGATTGCGTTTCGTTGTTTTATTCATACACCTGCTATCTGATAGATCAGTCTGCTTAACTACTAGTAACAATGCATCACTGTTGATAAAAACTGGAGTCACCATGTACATCAAATCTACGCTTTACATTTACCATAACCTTCAAGCACAAATGAGTAAATAGTGAATATAATTAACTCAAGCATCCTTGAACATGTATTTACGTTCTAGATAAATTCCCTTAATTTGGAGTAATATTTGAATAAAACAATAAAATCATCGCAGTTTTACCTAAATTGATTAATATTATCAGGATTTACTATCACTAACATCCAGCTGACGAGTCCCATGTAGGGTGAAACGTGCGTCCTGCATTCCGTTACTAGCCACTGTCCATCATCACTATTAATCTAGTATGCAAAAATAGACAATTCAGATTGATGAATGACTAAGTGACCCTAAATGACTTGTAGTGTGAAACAACAGTAGCAATATTCATGTGTATAAAGTAGAAACGTTTGCTTAAAAATGTAGGTAACACACGTGTTTTATAGTATTCTGACCTCACGAATAGTGAAAGATTACTTTAAAAAGAGTGGAGCTGTGGCTCAGTGGTTTAGGGAGATGACCGTAAACCAGTGGATCATGGGTCCAAAACCCCAATCCACCTACCAAGCTTCGATCACCCAGATGATGTCTCACCAACCCTCACACAAGTTGTAACATTCAAGTTATTTACAATCCTCTAGTTTTCATGTACACCATTCATAATGCAGAAAGAGGTAAATACAGCAAATTTTAGATAAATGAAGTATGTTTAATCATTCAAAATTTTACGCCATCATCAATATCAACATATGACCAGGCAATACTGCATAACGGTCCGAGTTGCCACACCTCATATCACCACATCAAGTAAAAAGACAGTGAGGTACAAGATGAAGATAAGGAAATTCAGTCAAGAGAAAGATAAAATACTAAAAAAGAGAAAGCAAGAATGAGAAAATGTTGAGATTTGGTGCAGCGTTAAGATGAGGATAATGTGTGTATACATCTGCACCAGTGACATCGGTTCTGAGCCATATGACAATTTAGTCAGTCTCCAACCACTGGTTCCTCTTGTCCCGCAAACCCCAACCGGTTAGTGTGCATCGCCCCACATGGCTCAAACCAATAGTCAGAGACTTCATGCATTGGTACCATGTATTAGTCTGGCCACCTTGAGCCTTTTCCAGCTTGAACTTACTTCGGCCAACATTGTGTGACGAGGCAGACGGCGACTAGGCATACGTAACACTTATCCCAACCATCTTAGTCGATGAAACTTCACGACCACATCAACTGACTTACCTCCTCTCCCTAAAACTACACCTGACTTGTGTGTTACTGACATGGTGAGACGACGGAATACGGCCTATACTACGAAGGTAACGATGGTCAAACACTTGAAGCCTTCTCATATCTCCCACCTTCGATGTCCATGTTAGACAGCCGTACAGTAGAACAGAGTGGAGTGCCGTGCAGTACACGCTACCCTTAATAGACAAATTGATATCACGACGGCGCTGCAGGTGGCGTAAGTTGGCAAAAGCCAACCGAGCCTTTTGTATTCGTGCAGAGGTTTGATCGGCCAGTGAGCCACCAGGGCTAATCCTACTCCCCAGGTAAGTGAAGTGGTCGATACTCTCAACCAGTACACTTTCTAATCTTAGCCGAGGCACCGTTGAATACCGATTGTGGAGCATGAGTTTGTATTTGGGTGATGAGAAAGGCATCGTGAACATTGTCAAATTGCCACTCAAAGTGTTCAGAAGACTGTGCATCTTGTCAGCGTTTTCGCCTAACAGGACTATGTCATCTGCGTATTCTAGGTCTAAGGAGAATTCTCCTGTGATTAGGTCAAGGTGTGTGTAACCTGGTGACGAGAGGGAGACCTCGATGATAAAATTGAATAAGAATGGAGAGAGTGAGCAGTCTTGACGAACACCAGTCGACGAGTACAGCTCCTCGAACATCTCACCATAGGCTGTAACACGCCCACAAGTGTTCGAGTAGAGAGTCCTGAATAAGGTGATGTACTTACTTGGGATGCCTTTCAGTGAGAGACATTGCCATAAGACTTCTTGATCGACGGAGTTGAATGCTGCCTTCAGGTCGAGAAATGTAGCTATTGTTTGGTGTCGGCAAGCTTTCCTGTGTTCTAGAACCTGGCGCGAAATTTCACGTAATCCTTTTTACAGCTTTAAATACTGCTCTTAATACAATTATTAATATTATGACTGTTGTTGTAATCTTCGATTCAGTAGGTTTTCTTACGAATTACGGTTTTCAAATATCATATAAAGATATATGAAATATTACCTCTATCTTTGAGTTTGTCTACTTACACTATTTATCGTGTAGTTTGAAGTTTGCCCAACATTTTCACTCCTTCGAGTGTATAGTTACATCGATAGAATATGTATACGTAACTCTATTCTGGCTTTTTCCTGTCAATCGTGTTGCGTTTCATTTTTATGAAGAAAATTTTGAGCTGAAACGTTTCAGTAAACTGCGCTGGAGTATAATGTGTAGATAATGGAGTTGGCGTTTAGATAATAACTGTTTCACTTACTTAGAAAGTCATATCAGCTGTGATGGGTCAGCGATATCTCTGCATGGATTCAAAAGTCTCAAAAGGTTTTCGTAAACTCACCATTTATGGTGTAACGGTTATACATGATTACCTATTAAGAGTAGAGTGTACCGTGCTGCAGCTCATTCTGTTCTGCTCTACTGCACAATGTTAGCGTTGGTAGGCTCACGCCAGTAAAACATTAGGGGCTGTTAGACGAACACATAGCATCAGTGCATGAAGTATTTGACTGTTAGTGTTAGCTGTTTTGGGGTCTATATGACTGCAGAAACCAGTAGTTGAAAACTCTAGGTGAAGTGTCTCAGAATAGATCTCTGTAGCACAGATTTATTCATAAGATATCTCCATCCTAATTGTCGCACCGAGTTTCATCCCTCCCTGTTCTTTTCTCATGACTTTCTGCCATTTTTGATTGCTTTCTTCTTTACCTCTTGACCTATCACCTTAGTGTATTCTCACTTGATGTGCTGGTATGAGGTATAGCAATTGGAACCGTTGTGTGATAATGCCAGATTCTGTGTTGGTATTGACTAACTTACTGTCTCCATATAAAATATATGACACGTATACATATTCAGAAATTTCGGTTCTTATTTTCAGCTTAAATTTACTCTGATTATAGTCGTGTTTTTTCCATAGGTCATTATGTTGCTCATTTCTCTGACGTCTAGTGCATATACCTATGAGACAGTAATGTGTACATTAAAAATTTCTCCCCAGCTCAATAGCTTGTATTAATTCAGTGTTACAGGTTGCAAAAATGTAGTTGGTATTCATCATGGACTAACATCGGTTGGAGGAACAATGGAAAATTGAGAGCGCTAGACAGCTGTTTCTCCCTAGCATGGGACTTCTCAGCAGTGCGGACTCATGACCGTGCTTTTGCAGAGATCGAACCCACTGTCTTCAGGTTCCGTGGTCAGCATGTTACCATCGGGCCTCCACGTCGGAATCCAACGGTCCATATTCCCAACTTCTGTCAGTTCATTACGTAGTGCAACCGTCACCCAATATCATCGTTGAGTATTTGTCCTCACGTCTACCAGGCTTACCCCACCGGTCACGACTTCTCATTGGAACTTCAGGAATTACCTCTCGAAGCTAGTCACCATGATGAATACCACCCAATCATTCTAGTTTTCTATTCACTAATATTCAGCATCTGCGAATACCTTCATGCTCTATTTTGTCTTTTATTTATGCTAACACAACATTCACTGAAAACATGATTGCTATAGTAATATTTAATTTACTAATTAAGTGAAATTATAAATATTTTATTGATTTACAAATAATTGGCTTGTTTTCCGACTATATATGCTTTGAGTGTATGACTCGAAATGCACTCAGCAATCTTGCTCACATTTGTGCAATAAGCAATGAGCCAGACGTATAATGTGAGGAATAATGATGCTACTATTTGTCTTCTCAAACCTCGGTAGGTGGAGCGGCTTCCAAACTAGTGACCTACTGATTGAAAGTCACTTCCTAAACCAATGACCTACAGCTCAGACAATTAGAAGTACCACTAACCGATCTAGACATTGTATCTTCAGCTCTCCGTTGATGTAACTGATTTCTGTATCGAAAAAAACTTAGAGAAAATAGAAATACTGTTAAAATTGAAACACATCATCATGTCAGAACTCAACTACTTCAAAGATGTAACTATTTCTTCTTTACACAGTGACTTCAATATTATTAAGCATTTCAGTGTAGTGAAACCACTAGCCTAGAATTTCAGCACTTCTCACTTATTATACAACGTTTTAGTTCTGAATAAATGTCTACTACATCAGGTTAGTCTCAATGACAATGTTTTATTTTAACTTCTGTTTGATACCACATTCTGAACACGCTAGTGTTATAATCCACAGTATATATATATATATATATATATATATATATATATATATATATATATATATGTAACTTATTATTTGTCGCGTGGGTTCCTAGTGGAACATAGGGTAGACATTTCACTCTGTTCTCTGAAGTCTTTTGAACCTGACTCCACGACTGCCCACAAGCTTTCATTTCTTCGTCACGCGATCTCTTCCATATCACACTCTCCTCGGATACCCAACTCGTCGTTTCCCTTTTGGATCCCACTCGAGTGCCTGGCTCGTGATGTCCCCAATCGTTCTTCTCACTGTATGTCCAATCCATCCCCACTTTCTTGTGCATATTTGTTGAGCGATGGGCTCTTGGTTGGTTCGTTGGTTGGCCAGAGTTCCTTGTTACTTATTCTTTCTGGTTATCTGATCTTCAGTGTCGAACGTAGGGAGCCGTTGATGAATGGCTGCAGTTTTCTGGAAGTGCTTTTCGTGACGCATCAAGTTTCTGAACCATATAGAAGCACTGACTTGACTGAATTGGTGTTGAAAATCCAGATCTTGTTCTTTCTGCTGAGTGCATTAGATCTCCACACTGGTTTCAGATTAATGAACGTCTGTCCTGCTGTCTTTCCGATCCTGGTTTTGACATCCTCATCTGTTTCACCGCTGCCTTTAGTTGAAACGATGCTGCCTAGGTAGGTAGGTGTGTGTGGGGTGGTAGGTGGGTGTGGGGTGGTAGGTAGGTAGGCAGGTGAAAGAGACTACTTTCTTTAGGTTTTCCTGTTGATGGTGATTGTTGGTTGGGTATCTTCATCACCTCTGTCGTCTATACATTCACTTGAAGTCCCGTTTTCGCTGCCCTGCCTCTTCTGTCAACTTGTTGGTTCTTGCCTTTAAATCTTTGAGTTTGTGCGACATTAGACATAAATCATCATCGTCGGCGAAATCCAACTCATCTAGGGTCTTTACATCAGTCCAGCGTATATATCGTTACGATTAACGATAGAACAATGACTTCTCAACTCGGTATTCAGCTGTCACCAAAAGATGATGGTATCGCAAGCATATTTACTTCAACCGAATAATAATAGATGGGCTTGACCAGAGAAAACAAAATAGCCTATTAAAAGTGTAAAATGGACCAATCAGCGTTTAGTATCCAAAACTGTGGTAAAAGTAAGTAACCTAGCATGGCTTGAAAACAAGGTTCAAATTTTACAATGATAATATAAACAGGTTATAAGTTAGTTTTCATAGGGATTAGGCATCTCTAACAGCATTCAGATGGCTTCTAATGAAGATGAAGGATTTTGTCATGCCCTAATTCATTCACTACGGGACTGTAACCCTTATGAGACTGATTTGTTATGTGATTCAGCTTTCAAATAGGTTGTCTGTACGAGATTGAAGTGCACTCAACAACCATGTGCACATCCGTGCAATAGTAAGGACCGAGACGCACCTATAGTATGCGGATTAATGATACCACCTGGAGGTTCAAACCGAGGTAGTTGGACAGACAGTTTATACGTCAAAGAATGTGTGTATCTGCGCTACTGTGACTGTTTTTCAGCCTTATCACCAAGAGTCCTCAACCACTGATTCCTTTCGTCTCGGGGACCTCAGCCAGGTAGTTTTCATCTCCCTACACGACTCAGACCAACAGTCAGAGACTTCATGGACTGGCGTCACGTCATCGTCAGGCCACCCTGGACCCTCTTCTGACCTAATCCAACTTGCCGTAGCATGGTACATGGAGGTTTGGTAGATTTAATGGTGTTCAAACCCGTGACCCAGTGGTGTAGCTGAAATGTTTGAGTTAATTTCTTTTATCAGCATATCACTAGTTTCGTTATGATTATCTAACAGTGGAATCCAGGACATGCGTTTCGTCCTATTTGGGACTCACCAACCGGATGCACCTGCACCCCAGTAAGTGATGTCGTTCCCATTGAAACTGGAACCTAGTACCAATAGCTTCAAACACCAGAGTGCTATCCACTGAGCCCTGATAGCCACATCTCGTACAACGGAAAATTACAACTATCAACCAATAATAATAACTTTATAGATTTGTTGTAAAATTCAAATTGAACATGCTTTGAGTCTGAGTAGAAGTTATCGTTCTGTTTATTAGGTTCATTCATTCGAGAGTTCTTTTTTATAGCCTTTGTCGCCACTTTTATAGCCCCTGTTGTCATTTGTTGACTACGTATGCAAACGCTTAGACATTCAGATTCCACTTTTGACAGTCGCTCAATCTCTCTATAAATGGAAAAGGCAGTAGGATAACAGGTGTGTTGCCATGTCCATACCTAAGCGTGCAAAATACGAGGGTTTATATATCTTTTCAATGACCTTGACTATTTCTAGACCTTCTTGGATTTGAATATCTTATCGATTTCTCGCCTCATCAACCAATCACATGTTGGTTCACGTGCTTTCTCTTGAAACTTTGGTGCAACACGATTGATTGTAAACGGTTTGAGGGATTTAGAGCATTTTCATACAGATCATGACAATCTTTCTGCACACTATATCATATTTTTCAGTCTCCACTTTAACGTAAGACTTTAATTCTATAATTTCTTATTTCTCTTTTAACACTGATTTAAATATGATTTTTTTTAATGATTATTTTTTTTTGTTTACAGGGTTATGATATCAGTTTTCTTATAACAAATTTTCATACTGAACAAATGTCCAAGGCGAAATTGGTGGATTTTGTTATCACCTTTATGGATGAGATTGATAAGGAGATTTCAGAGATGCGTTTAGCAGTCAATTCTCGTGCTCGTCAGTGTGCTGAAGAATTTTTGAAGGCGTTTGATTGATTAATTGACAACTAACTTTGTTACAATATGGCCGATGAATGATTTCACATCGAAGCAGAAAATATCTGTAAAATGGATTTTTTTTTCTTTCTCTCTCTCTAATCTTATCTTTTATTTATAACAGTGATCTGTCGAAAAATGGGGTATTTTTGTGCTTATATTTTGCTTTTGTACTTCTTGGCATAACTGTTCACACCAGGTGACGATTACTATTCAATTTAGAGAAACGAGATTGTGTTATCTCAGTTATATAATACAGTTGCATTGTCGTTTAAAGGGATTTACATTCTCGCTAGTGAACAGAAGTTACCTCCTATTCAATTCAACCTCCTAGATAAATGTTTACTGATGAATTGACGACTTCGCCCTCAGATCTTCATCAGAGCGTAAAAATTTACTCTATGACGGTAATTGCTTTTTGTCGTCTAACCACTATCCAACAGACCTTTCTGGTAGGACGTTAAGGGAACCAGCGTTCTATCCGTGCATTAGGCCGTTCGATCATGGTGATATGGAAACCTGACTACCACACCAAGCTAACAGCTATCGGTCGCGAAGTAAGCACATTACCGTGTATATGTCTAATTGCAAATGATTTTTTTTTAACAATTTCACTTCAGTCATCATGGTGGTTGTAATTCATATAAAATGTTATTGGCAATGACAATAGGAATTGTCTTCTAAATAAACAGGCGAAAAGGACAGTTTACCCACGGTATAGGCGGCGAGGTGCGGGGTAGGCACACACACCTAGGCGTATGGTCTGAAATGGTTGCTCGTGAGCGTTAGTACATAAGGGCGAGCGCGAAAATCCCAGCTAACTGTAATTCCAGTCCATCCTATGTAAAGAAGGATTGTAGCAGAGAGAGCGAGGGAACAGGTCTTTTAGATATCATGATAACTTTTCGTTGCAAAGTAAAGTCAGCAGAAAGCCCTGGGCGTAGCTTTCGTGCTTATTGGGACTCATCACTAAGGCGTGTCTCCAACTTCTGTGGAACTGATGTTCCGCCTGAGATTTAAAATTGCATCACCCAGTGCTTTAGTTAGAGACGTTATCCCATCATGTCCTAATTCATGGTTTATTTTCAAGTTTGGGGGAATTTTTAGCAATCCATAAAAGAAAAAAGGTAAAGTTTATGAAGTGTGTATTTTTGACACTCCGTCACGTCGAATATTTCAGTGTCTGAAAAGCGAAAAATTGGAAGTTGAATACTTTTGGGGTGACTGATATGTCTACTTCCTTGACAAGCTAATGTTGGTCTTATACCATGATCATCACCAATATCAACATACGACCAGGCAATACTGCATAACGGTCCGAGTTGCCACACCTCATATCACCACATCAAGTAAAAAGACAGTGAGGTACAAGATGAAGATAAGGAAATTCAGTCAAGAGAAAGATAAAATACTAAAAAAGAGAAAGCAAGAATGAGAAAATGTTGAGATTTGGTGCAGCGTTAAGATGAGGATAATGTGTGTATACATCTGCACCAGTGACATCGGTTCTGAGCCATATGACAATTTAGTCAGTCTCCAACCACTGGTTCCTCTTGTCCCGCAAACCCCAACCGGTTAGTGTGCATCGCCCCACATGGCTCAAACCAATAGTCAGAGACTTCATGCATTGGTACCATGTATTAGTCTGGCCACCTTGAGCCTTTTCCAGCTTGAACTTACTTCGGCCAACATTGTGTGACGAGGCAGACGGCGACTAGGCATACGTAACACTTATCCCAACCATCTTAGTCGATGAAACTTCACGACCACATCAACTGACTTACCTCTTCTCCCTAAAACTACACCTGACTTGTGTGTTACTGACATGGTGAGACGACGGAATACGGCCTATACTACGAAGGTAACGATGGTCAAACACTTGAAGCCTTCTCATATCTCCCACCTTCGATGTCCATGTTAGACAGCCGTACAGTAGAACAGAGTGGAGTGCCGTGCAGTACACGCTACCCTTAATAGACAAATTGATATCACGACGGCGCTGCAGGTGGCGTAAGTTGGCAAAAGCCAACCGAGCCTTTTGTATTCGTGCAGAGGTTTGATCGGCCAGTGAGCCACCAGGGCTAATCCTACTCCCCAGGTAAGTGAAGTGGTCGATACTCTCAACCAGTACACTTTCTAATCTTAGCCGAGGCACCGTTGAATACCGATTGTGGAGCATGAGTTTGTATTTGGGTGATGAGAAAGGCATCGTGAACATTGTCAAATTGCCACTCAAAGTGTTCAGAAGACTGTGCATCTTGTCAGCGTTTTCGCCTAACAGGACTATGTCATCTGCGTATTCTAGGTCTAAGGAGAATTCTCCTGTGATTAGGTCAAGGTGTGTGTAACCTGGTGACGAGAGGGAGACCTCGATGATAAAATTGAATAAGAATGGAGAGAGTGAGCAGTCTTGACGAACACCAGTCGACGAGTACAGCTCCTCGAACATCTCACCATAGGCTGTAACACGCCCACAAGTGTTCGAGTAGAGAGTCCTGAATAAGGTGATGTACTTACTTGGGATGCCTTTCAGTGAGAGACATTGCCATAAGACTTCTTGATCGACGGAGTTGAATGCTGCCTTCAGGTCGAGAAATGTAGCTATTGTTTGGTGTCGGCAAGCTTGCCAGTGTCCTAGAACTAGGTGGTGTGTGCATATTCTGTCGATACACCCGCGGTCTGGAGTAAAGCCCGCTTGGTTTTGTGGGACCTGGTGTTCCGGAGCTCCTCTCAGGTGTCTGGGAATTATATAACCTTGAATCTCCGACACTATATTTGTCAGGTGGATTCCTCTGTGGTTATCACAAGAAGGCTTCTCGCCTTTCTTGAAGACTAATAATCAGTGATTTAGACTACTCAGAGAGGATCGTATTTGATTCCCATATACTAGTTAACACTTCCGTTAACCTGGCTAAGAGCACTCTACCACCTCGTTGTATAACTTAGGAGTTAGTCTGTCTGGTCCTGCCGCGTTCCGGCGTCTTAAGTTACGTATAGCTTCCTCGACTTCTGAATGTGGGGGGTGGAGATCACATCTCAATGTTCCATTCAGTATCCAACTGGATAGCGGGCAACGCAGTGGTAGCTGGAGGCCATTTAAACAGTTCCTCTAAGTGTTCTCCCCATCTTTCCAGCCGTCTCCCCTGCGAGTGAGTTGCAGACCCATTTTTCTCCGTTATAGTCTCACTAACTGTTGTTGGCCTTTTCCACCTGTTTAGCCTTCGCAGCCCACCACTGTTCGTGGTCGTCGCGTAGTCTTTTTCTCAGTCTACTCTTATGTTGTCTTCTCTCTTCATTGTACTCACAGCCTTCACAGATGCGTTCACTTGTATCCATTAGTTCAGAAGAGGCTGCTGATATCCACTGGTTCTTTTTAACCACTTTCGAAGTCGACTACGGTCTTTACCGATGCTTTTATAGCATACTGGAGATGGCACCAAGCTTTTTCTGGATGAGTGATAGTGTTCTGTTTCGATAACTGCCTACGCAATTTTCACTAAAAGCATGTTTGGTGTTTTCGTTGCATATAGTCACTGGACTTAATAGTAAGATGTTATACTCCTTGAAAACCTGCATCCCTGTGTTTTTGGTTATGGGTCGAGATTTTTAGTTGATAAATCTCAGGAAGATGATACAATATCAGTTTGAAACAGAATCTAGGCAAACTCAGTAAGAAGATATGGTTTATTTGAAAGCATGTGATGTATCTGCACCATATACTCACTTGTTCAGGCATTCTATATGATTAGAAATAGAAATAGTAGAAGGACAAATATAATTTAAAGGAATTTAATAATAAGAAAGATAATGAAGAGAGCAGGATAAGTTTTGAAGCCAATCTTGACCATAGAATAAGATAAAGATTACCAGGGTAGGTTTTAGCGTAAGGGCAAACTGATTTTAAACACTGTAGGGGGGGTGGGGTTGTAAGCATATACCCCTGGTAGTTTCCATACAATCTTGTAAAGGCTATGGCTCTTATCAGTAATATGTTTTGCAATGGATGATGATAGTTTCCTGTCACCTGCGCTTGCCGATGCTTGTGTATCCAGCTACTTTTGTGACCATTTTGGTACATACTTAACCAACCTCAAGTGTGTACGTCGATTAGTCCGCTTTATGTACCGGTGTTCATATACATATGTAAACTGTTACACTCAGTAGGATATGGTGAGATCCGTGCTGCAAAGTATGTTCGGTTTTCTTAACTACGTTAAGCGCAGCTGTATAGTATGTTTTACTGATGGCAGACTTTAGTCTTCGTTTTAAAATTAGGCTATAAAATTCCCCTCCGTATGGTAACCTGAAATGAACATATTTCTTCGGAATGGAATGCAGACTAGGCTTCAACTCTGAATAATTTTTTAAACGGTTAATGCACTTTAATGGATCTCCATTTTGATGTCATCATCCATTAAGTAATCTGTACAAATACATTGGATACTTTTGGATGGATACTTTATTAAACCTCCCTTGTATTGAGTTGAAAGAAGACGATAGAATACCGCCTTGTCCAGTTAGATTTTCTGTAAATCAAGCGTTTGTTGAAGCGTCTTCCGTACAGCTCAGGAGTATATCCAAGAATGACGGACAGTGACCCTTCACACTTTGAGCGGTGTTAAGTCTTTCTATCAAAGACGTCGCGTCTTCTGTCATCAAAAAGTCTCGGATCAAAAATAAGTTAAATATGTAAATATCAGCTGGTAATAGTCGTAGGGAACTTCCCGCAGCAACGTCATCGATTTATCGGAACTTTTCCCACTCAAGTGTGAAGTGAACTTTATCAGTACACAATAATAGCGGCTCTTTCAAACACGTTAAGGGGATAGGGAGAAAAAAAATGTTTATTGCAATAAATGAATCCAAAGTTTTCTCTCTGATATCACTAAGATAGTCAACAAGTTCAAATGTATCTTCCAAAGAAAAGTTACATTTTTGGTTGCAAATAAGAATTGAAGTTTTTGTGAACTATTTCGCTTATTTATTTGTAAAGGATTGTTAGTTTCATGAATTTTAAACAGTCTATACAAGTTAGGTAACTCGGACCCCATAACTTTAAGGGAATTGATTTCTTCCTCATTGACAATGTTCATTTGTCAAGAATTTTACTAGATTGAATTTTACTTTACATTTTAGTTTTCTAAATTTATCCAAAACGAAACTGATAAGCCCCTTTAAGAGCTTCTACAGATGTGAGGTGACTGAGTTAACAATAATAAATACACGATCGGTAATAGTGCGATGAGACACTTGGACCGGATACAAATGGAGATTGT